TGTCATATATAAAATTAACACCACGAATAAGGGCTGCATTTCCTTATTTAATTATTTTTGCATTTCTTTTCATTATTCTGCATGACTATTTTAATTGTCGACGCTTAAAACGATGTTTCATAGACAAATGCAACCAAATCGTGCATAGCAGAAAACCTGAACAGTAGAAACTCTACGGTGAATGCACTTCATATTTTATTAACTAAGAATGCTTTACAAAAACTCATATCTATGGAAACTCTAGAATTTAATGCATATAAACCAACCAATGACAAAAATGAACATAAGCCAGTAAAATTCTTGATGTCCACGTTCTAGTATCTTTGGCCGCGCTTTCTTTAAGCTCAGGGCTGTTCTTTTCACTGGTCAGTCAACGTAAGCTTTAAAAATGAACACATAAATTAAAAAAAAATTATAGATTATTATTTTTACAATTACCGTACATAAAGTTTATAGAATATATTTCTTATACATACATTTCTTAGACATATCCCCAATAAAGACGGTTCAATTATTTATTGTCAATAGACACTATTAGTGACGCTTTCAAAATACGGAGTTATTATTACGTAATGAATATTAATATTGTTATTATTATTATTAATATTATTATTATTATTATTATTATTGGAAATGCATTTAATCGAAAAAAACTTAGAAGAAGAGTTAGTCTTAACTTAGTCGCATTATAGTTCTCCTTACAAAAGACTTTCATTTGATTTAAATTATGTACAACTTTCAATGCTCTGCACCACAATTTTCCCTGTAGCTAATTTTTAATAATAAATAATTATATTTAATAACGAAAGAAATAATTGCTGCAATGCGGGAGCCAATGCGGCAAATGTAGTGACCTATGGCTACTACATAAAAAATGAGTTTTCTGAGCTGGACAAAGGATGTTTGCATCATTCATCACCTAATCAATACATCGCACGTTGTGTTGGGGCCATGAAGCTCTGCAATTGTTCACTAACTTTGATGAATTGCCTGGCTACGTGCAACATCATCAAAAGTTCCTATTCACGAAACTGTACAAGGTTGTATAAGGTATAACCGTAGAAGGTGTTACAGCGATCGTTGTCCGTGAAATTTCCGATATCTGTGAATTTTTAGTCTTTGGTTTGATCGTTTGTTTAATCTCGGATCTACAGTGTGAATCATTTAAGACGAAAGTAAAAGCGAAGGAATATTTACAATTCCTCCGGCTAGTATTATACTAAAGGCAGCAGAGTGCAACATGCATAGTCATATTACAAAGATGCAAGCGTTTCACTATCCTTTTTACTTTTTTTGTGTCCAAGATACTGGGGGGATAAAGATAAATACTGTATGATAATCAGCAAATGGGCTTGTGATGCAGTCATTGATGCGAGTATTGGGCGTACTGTAGCCTCAAGGCCTCGAACCTGTACTAGAATAGTGAAGAGGCCGTGATGAAGAATTCATGCAGTGAAGAGACCAATAACTGCATTAATCGCAGTTATTGTTTTGAATTTTAAAAATTTTCATGCGTATATATATATAACTATATTGGGCAATAGAGTATTAAAAATATATGTTCCATGACACAATCTATCCAACGTTTACAAACTCACTGCGAGAATTGAAAAAGTTCACGATTCACTTTCAAACCTGAAATTTGAATGCAATAGGTTTGTAAAACCGAAATAATTAACAGTAATTTCACTCTACTGCTTCGAAATTCCAGGTACAAAATTTCTGGCTCAACAGATCTTTTAGCGACTAATAGTTGAATGACTACGTGTTCCAGCCTTCAATATCTATCTGTTCTAATTTCAGGTTCCTATTATTAATTCAAATCTATGAATTGTGGTAGAGCACCGACAGCGCATAGTTAATCATACTTCCTCATTGTCCTGATAAATGGAAGTCCCGCGGTGCGTTTGCAAACCATAAGGGCTCATTACGAGCCATAAATTTTACCGCGACCATAAAACAGCAACGTAATAATCGGCTCCTGGAATCAGCACTCGGATACGTGGAACGGTAAATCAATTCAACTCAATAACAGCAACGTGGCTGACGGGAAGTAGTGAAATCTCTTGTGATTCAACGCGTTCTTTCACAACGGCTTTAAAATTTTCAAACCCGCTCCAGATGGCTATTAACCGGAGCAATACATGGCTGGTAACCGGATTAGGATTCTTGAACCTAATTTATTTTCAAATTGGTACAGTAATTAACTCATAAAATAATGAATCACACGCAAAGAAAAACCTATATTAATAAGTTTACGAATAATTCCGAATAAGCAAACATATCCCGCCGCTTTATTTTGTGGCAGCTTAGGTTTAGAAGCATTGGTCACCAAACTATAGCAATAACTTAGTCCCTAAAGGTCATTTGGAAATTGTTGGTAATGGAGGGGGCATATTTTAATTTCATATTAATAAATCCAAGTACACATTTGTTAAAGACGCATAATGTTTATCGTGGTATATTAATAAGTTTAACGAACTCTGCTTTAGGAGCCACGCAAGTTGCGCAGAGTTCGAGCTCGTGGGCTGAGCGCCGTAAGTGAGATTGACGGGTGGATCGAAGAAAGATCTAAATTATTCAGCGATCCGCTAGACCAGTCTTGCGCTCCATTTCTGGGCGAAATAAGATGAAAGTTCATCGTTTTCTTTTTGGTTTATCGTAGAAAAACGATAGTTTCATTTAGTTCTGCGTTCGAACAACTGTGGTAGGTAACAGGGATCATCGGTAACGAAAAAATGCTCGTGTAAAAGCGTTAAAATCACGGGTACGGGATCAGCATTAATAAAATTATCACAATTTCCAGCATTCGTATTTTGGGAGATGTATTTACGACCCTCTCATTGTCATTCTGGAACTTTTACCATTCTTACAATCATCCAAACGGGACTTTTAACATCCTCACCATCTGTGCACTCAATTTTTTACATCATATCGTAAGTTTAGTTTAGTTTAGTGACCCTATGATTTAAAAACACGAAAAAATTTCATATCGGTTCCCAAAGCCTCTGCCATGTTATTGATCCGTTGCGTTGCTACAGCGCAGTGCAACCTTTCTGATGCGTGGCATTTAGTTCCGTGAGATCAGCAGTGACATTTACGAAGAGCGCGCGCTAATGTCAATGAGAGGAGCCTTCCTAAAGTTACGTGTTTACAGTGATTTTCTGCGGCACGAGATCAACTAAATTATAATGTATTTATTAGAGGCTTAAGTAATAAGGAACAGGTTGATTAAAATTACGTTAGGATTTAAATATGGATTGCTATGATGCATTTAAAATCAATTGGAAAAGCTCGTGCTGATGGGCAAGTGATGAGGCATGAATGTTTCAATGATAACCTTTCCGTCAGAGCCAGGGCTGGTAAAGGCAGCCTTTCTTTTAAAAAATATAACTCAGTACTCACTGCAGTGAGTGACAGAGAGCGCTTCTCGTCGACGAAAACTTGAGGTCACGGACGGACAGACAGACTGCCAGACGGACATGGCGAGCACAATAGTGCATTTTTTCCATAAATGAGAAAATACGCTGAAAAGATCCGCAAAATATTATTTACCGTTTACCAGAACTAGCTTGAGCAGAATGATGAAATTTACAAAGCAGTAACCTGGATTTAGTAAATTATCATTTTATTTCAAGTTCATAATTACATAATGTTAGGAATTTTTAATAAATCACAAATACTATGTTAAGGTTGTGTTTACTTATGAATATAAGTGTTTTATCTCAGGATTGAAATTTTCGTAAGGTCGAACGTTAGTGACGTAGAGTACAAAACTCACGAGGTGGTAAGTTTTCAGTCTAAATATTTAATGAAGACAAGGCCGAATGTTGAGTAAGAATACCGCAAAAATAGGCTTGTTTATTGAAAAATGTAAACGTTAGAGACAAAGTAAATAGCATATAAATATTTTCATAAACATCGTAAGCATCCAGACGTTATTTAGTGTTGAGAAGATCACAGTCGTTGACAATAAGGTGCACTTCAGTGGAAGCAATCGTCTATACGATGCACTTCAGTGGAAGTAATCGTCTATACGATGCACTTCAGTGGAAGTAAGTTGTAAGGATACAAGTATCAATACGCGAAAGACGCGGGGTAAAACCCGGGGGTGGCCCCCCATTTTTTACTACAACAGCAATGAAGTATGGCTACTAACATGGGTAATTCAGCTACTAGAATTACGTACAAACGATTAAGAAAAAATGCTAACTTTTGCACGCAAAGTAAAGTTCTTTCCGTGACTGGTGTAAGGTAGTAAGTGAATGGATAGAGGTTAAGAATTTAATCCATTCAGCAAAAAAAAGGTGTTAGATGTCATTGGTCATCGTTCTGGCCCCACAAATAACATAGCATGTGTAAGCGTATCAAAGAAGTAATATTTAAAGCGTTCCATACTTGTGAGAGGATCGAAATGTAGACGAATTTATTGCATTGGAGAATAATTTCCACGTATACAAAATACTAATACACCTACTGGCGTCTCTAGCGTCGCGCGATGCCAGTAACATATAATAAATCCAGCGCGTCACAGCAATGTCATATAATAAAATATTTTTCTTCAAAATTAAATCTAACCTACAACAATGGACCGCAATAATGAAAACCCACGAAAATGAAGGACTAGAAGAACACTAAAGCGTGATTGTGATAAAGATAAAGAAGCTGAAGACGTAACAGGTTATGGAAAACCTATCGCATTTTATACGACACACTTAAAGAAGAAATACAATTCGTTGTTTACAGAAACATGCTTGTATGAAATACCAATAGTAAATTAAACTTTATTGTATCAAATATTCCTGGTAGAAGAAACATGATTGTATCAGTCAACTATCGTAAGTATATAAACTTGATTATATCAAATTTATCATCTAACAAGCGACATTACCCTGTACAGGTTTTCTTAGCGTTTCAACAACTCATTAAATAGATTTAAACACAAACTATATCAGCGGCAACAATTTAATAGAATACATTTATTGCACTAAAAAACCGTACAACAAATACATTTTATTACTGGCTGAAATTACACCAAGAAATATCAATTTGGCACAACACAAGAAGAATTTTTCGTTAAACTTTTTTGGACGGTGAGACCCTTAAGAAGAATTAAATCTTTCTTGCGTAGGTATCAGTCACATAAGTTGTCCTCATCCCAGCAGTTTGCGGTTCATGGCCAAATATTTTAGTTCAAAGAGTAGAATTTGTAGGAGATCCTGGAATACTGAACGTCTTCACGAATCTCCTAAGGTAATTTTATGCAAATAAATAAAGAGAAAAAAACTATTTAACCAATATGATGGGTTCCAACCTTCAAATAGTTTACCTCTGATTAAAGCACATGAGATGTAGCGGCACATATAACATTTGACAAGGCGGTTTGTGAACAAAGACGAATTTATTCGACATCTTCACACTTTCCTGGCAAAATAAACGTGCCTGATAAAAAGGAATATTTTCATAAGGCATGCAATGTCTAACAGTAAAGATGTTCCAAATGAAACATTTGTCTGAAATGGACGGAGAATAACACATTATGAAGCTATGACTTACGTAAATGATCTCAATGCTAAGCATAGTTGATCGCAGAACTCATAGGCGGATACAAATAAATAAATACCGTACATCGTAAGAACACGAAGCAAAGACTAACTTCCAACAATATAGTAATAACAGAAAATTTCAAAAGGAACAAACGAGAAATAATTCTTACTAAAGTATCACATATCTCTGGACCTGAGACGGTAACATCTTCTCAGACCTAACACCTAACAGAATAGAGAACTTGCACGCAGGAGACAAATAAATTCAGCACTAAGAGCTTCCAAGCATCAACAAAGATTCATCCGCAGCAAGATAGATCAGAGAAAATGAAGGAAAAAATAGTACCGCACATTCTAGAAGATATCGACCAAAAATCTTGGTAGCATTATTACTAATTTACATAGTAGATACATTACGCAGGATATTTCATTCGTCTCTGAACCGACGACAATCAATGCATTGAAGGGGACTTCCATAAAATCAAGCAAATTTCTACTAACTTTGAATTAGCTAGAAAAATCAGTCTTTACTTAATCCTGCTTTTAAACAATGCGCACTCCAGCTTGATCGGCAGCACATGGTTGCCTATAGGGGCTGTAATTAGAACGTCCTAGCTCGGGTTGGACGATGATCGTCCAACCCGAGAATCGGGTGGAGAATCATGCTTACAAGAGGCACATTGAGTTTCAAAATGAAATTCGAGTATTCAAATAAATTTGTTACCACCGGCATGGTAAGCCTTCGTTTACGGACACATTAACCGTGGTCAGAGATATTTGTAACGGAATGGCAAATGGAGGTACCGTTTTGACACAAAAAATTTAAGATCAATTTAACTCTTTGGCTCAGTCTGTTTACTCAGTTAACTCGCTCTTTTATATCTCCAGCAGCTTAAGATCAGCGTCGTCAGCTGTATCGGTCACTTCGATAACATCAACGTCGCCCACTGCCTCGCCCTAAATGTTCACTCGCTCTCTGGTATCTCCGGCAGATTGAGAGCCACGTCACCATCCTCCTCGACCTGCTCGCGCGTCAAGGTGCCGCCGTTGCGGAGGTGTTCGGCGAAGCGGGCGACCGCGGGGTCCTTGCCCATGGATGCGAGCGCCACGACCACGTCGTTCTCCAGGTAGTAGGCCAGGAACGCCAGGCCTTCGAGATCGCCCGTCACGATCACGTCATCGTAAGATCCCCCGTAACCTGCACGCAACGTAGAACTGAATATTTGTCAACGCATTTAAACTTACAGACACAATAAATGAAGCGACACACCTACGTTATATATGATAGAGGCACAATTTCATTGTCCAAAGCACTCGTACTGTGCAGACAAATTTTATTCAAGCTGACTTTCAATACTGAGCGTTTTTGCACTGCCGCCCGCTTACCAGTAATCATATGGCATTATCATACACAAACTTCATTATTTTCAAGTTTATTAGACATAGCTATTTATCACAGTAACCGGTTGTTACAGCTATTGCTATACAGTAGAATTACTGATGGTTATAGGCATATAAATCCAGCAGAATTTGCAGTGGACAGAACCTAATTTCAGACCTGCATATCTGAGACTCTTGCCCTGCAAGACGGTCCAGAACATGGGCACTGTCTTGACAGGTCTGAGCCTCGTGTTAGTCAGCGAAGAGAGCAGGTTGTGGGCCGCGACGTATCCGTGATACTGCGCTATCTGCCAGTGACCGACGTTGGCCTGAAATATGAGGGAGGGCGTGGGCATGTGAACAGGTGTTATTAAGACTTACTTTGTGGTATTAATATACATTAAACTTAATTTTTACATCACTTGAGTGTTATTACGATACATTATGACGTCTTCAGTGGGGAGAAAAGCGGATGAAATACAAAAAATAAAATTTGTAAAAGGGAAACTATCTGAATTCACAACTAGTATCAACGATAAAAAATCACTATTGTAAACAAAACATAAAAATAAAAAATGAAGCAGCACGCACCCTCTCCTGCCGGACTTCATTGCCATACTGTAGGGGGAAGACAGCGATGTCCCCACCACAGTAAACCCCTGGGGCACTGCTCCTCAGAAACTGCAACATCGAACTCTTTATTTAAGTCGTCCAAGTTATCCTCTTTAGCATGATGCTTCCTGAAAGCCTAGACTTTCAGATGAGGATTCCTGAATGCCTAACATTAAAATAAATTTTCTGAAAGACAAGACTTAGAAAATATTCTTCCTCGGACGTTAGAATTAGAAAACTTAGGCTGTAAAACGTGTCGTGACACAGGAAAAATTCAAATGTTATGAATTAAATTTTTGTGGCACATGACACATTAACTCATGTGTCACATCTATCCAACACATGTTTACCTGTGCACTATATTCATGCGCCCTATATTGCCTCTAAGAACTACCTCAATGATATACTATCAGAATCTACTGAGAACTACCTCAATGATATACTATCAGAATCTCCTAAGAACTACCTCAATGATACACTATAGGAATCTCCTAAGAACTGCCTCAATGATATTCTATAAGAATCTACTAAGAACTACCTTGATGATATACCTACTATAAGAATCTACTAAGAACTACCTCAATGATATACTATAAGAATCTACTAAGAACTACCTCAATGATATACTATCAGAATCTCCTAAGAACTACCTCAATGATACACTATANAAAGATATACCTACTAAAAAAATCTACTGGGAACCACCTCAATGATATACTAAAAGAATCTACCGAGAACTACCTCAATGATATACTACGAGAATCTACCATTTCAATGATATACTATCAGAATCTACTGAGAACTACCTCAATGATATACTATCAGAATCTACCAAGAACTACCTCAATGATATACTATCAGAATCTACCAAGAACTACCTCAATGATATACTATCAGAATCTACTAAGAACTACCTCAATGATACAGTTTCAGAATCTACTAAGAACTACCTCAATTGTATACCATTAGAATCTACTAGGAATCACCTCAAAATATATGTTCAGACTTAAAATGCCTAGCACCATATCGAACCCGGTGGAAGTCTAGTAGCTATTTCAAACTATCGTCAGTCTTGAAAAGATCCGGTCAAATGACACGATTTTAGATCTTCTGTGAACAAGTTACGAAAAGTACAAGAATCGGCGACAGGCCACATCAGGCCTACACTTCAGCGCCGACATCACTGTTATGTAATCTTATAGGTATACTATCAGAACCTTCTAAGAACTATCTCAATGAAAGCTACTATGGGATATACACCTCCAAAGAGCCTCTAAGGAAGATGGCCGCTCACCTGGTCCACGACAACGTATCCACGGTCGTCGAGGTTCACGTCAGACTCCTGGAGAAACTCCGTGGCGGGCAGCACACCGATGCCACACACCACCACGCCCGCCTCCAGGTGGGCTCCGTTCTTCAGCACCACCTGCATTCATGCCACAAAATTTAACCCATTATCTACTGATACATTAGCCTTCATCAATACTATTCATGGGCACTAACGGGAACGGATATTCATTCGTTCCCATCCTTTATTGTGTTTTCGCTTGCTATTATTCTTATGTATGACGTTCCGTCGAAGTTCGTTTGAACAAGACGACACGATAAATGCTTTGTAGAATATAATAATAATATTCATATCTAAGGGCCTCGTAACGAGGGCTAAGCAGTACAGCGTTGGCGCTTCAAGGGATAAATATTCAACATTTTGATTTGATTTCCTAGTTGTGGAGACATTTAAGATAAGAAGTTATAAAAGTAAAGCAGCATACGAAAGCGACCTAAAATGGAAGCAAGCACTAAGAAGGGGATAAAAACAGTTTGAATCCGAGATATCTAAAATCACATACGGCCACAAAAATCAAAAACCAGATCACGTCACAAAGATCTCGTTATATAGATAATCAACCAGTACGCGTTACATAAATCTAAAACCAACTCGATCTTGGAAATATAACAGTAGAATCTAAGATATAGAAGATCTTGCTAATAATTAGGAACATAAGATATGATCATAAGAATATAAGAGACCTGTTCGACACGGTCGCGGCCGACGATCTCAGCGACAGCGTCGTCCATGTAGAAGGTGACGCCCTGCTGCTCGAGCAGCTGCTGCAGGCGGCGCCCCACGGCGGTGCCCAGGCTGCGGTCATAGGGCACAACGCTGCGCCCCACCACGCTCACGCTCGCGCACTTGCCCAGCGACATGAGGTGTGAGGCCACCTCCATGCCTGAGTAGTGAGTGACATGTGGGGAATGACTCGTAAGAAATGGTGAATGTGCTTAGGCTATGAGCAATACCTAGTGAATGTGTCTAGGTCATGAGCAATGGTGAAAGTGCCGAGTCATGAGGAATGGTGAAAGTGCCGAGTCATGAGCAATGGTGAATGTGCCGAGGTCATGAGCAATGGTGAATGCGACTCGGTCATGAGCAATGGTGAATAGCGACCTCAGTGCCTCAGTTGCCTAACGGCAAATTAGAGACTTTGTTGTAGACTTTCCTTTCAGAGCCCCAACAGCAGGCCAGTGATTATCATGGATTACAACATTATCATATATAAGGTTATTTCAAATAAATGAATTGGTTGTTTAAAAATCTCTTGCTCTCCACCATGCAGTGAGTCAGGAGCGACCTCCAAGACTGAGACATGGGCAATGGTCAGGAATTTAAAAGCAAAGAAAATACCGCAAAAATTCACCATATCTTTATAAGAGAAAACGTTTCGGAGTCCAGCTCCATCGTCAGTTCAGAACACAAAATTCTGTTCAGAAAAAGTTCAGTCCTAGAAACACAAATAAATCAATTAGTAAAGTAAAATGCACTGTCAGGTTTCAAAACGGAAAAATAAATAAGATGAAAGATGAAACCTGACAGTGCATTTTACTTTACTAATTGATTTATTTGTGTTTCTAGGACTGAACTTTTTCTGAACTTTTTCAAAACCTTACAGTGCATTTTACTTTACTAATTGATTTATTTGTGTTTCTAGGACTGAACTTTTTCTGAACAGAATTTTGTGTTCTGAACTGACGATGGAGCTGGACTCCGAAACGTTTTCTCTTATAAAGATATGGTGAATTTTTGTGGTATTTTCTTTGCTTTTTTAAATTCACAAGAAGGCGTTCACAAAACACAATCTAGCAACATATACAAAAATAAAACAGAATTTATTCCCTTTTGCCTCAGGAATCCAAAAGACAGTGACTGCATGATTAATGATGTATGAAATGATGTACAGTGACTGCATGATGAATGATGTATGAAATGATGTACAGTGACTGCATGATGTGTCACGTCATGAAGTGAGCAATAAAAGTTCAACAAGCCTACAGGAAAATAAGACAATTCTCATATTCTTTCACTCATCAACAAATCCACATCAATCCATAATCAAAAACTTAACATCGTCATTCGGATGAAGAAGAATAGATTCAACCAATGAAGTGATCCCAACGATGAAAACATTGTTAATTTTGCATTTAATAGACATAATCATTCAGATGGACAGAATGAGATTTAACCGATGAAGGAGACTCCAATGATGGAAACATTGTTAATTTGCATTTAATCAACATAATCATTCAGATGGACAGAATGAGATGTTACCGATGAAGGAGGTCCCAACGATGGAAACATTGTTAATTTTGCATTTAATTGACATTCGACATTCGGATGGACAGTCTGAGACTCTGAGATGATCCCAATAAAGGAGGTTCCAACGATAGAAACATTTACATTTAATTGACATTCGACATTTGGAAGGACAGAATGAGATGTTACCAATGAAGGAGGTCCCGACGATTACGACGTGCTGGTTAGTGGCTTGCTGCAGGATGGCCGCCCCGTCGGCAGGCGTTCGCAGGGTCAATACACCTGACAGCCCCGAGTCTGGGTCCTGCAGAGTGATGGGCCTGTGTAGGGGAGATATATTAGTATATCTTCTTAATTTTATCGTGATGCAATAATCAATATTTTATTTAAATAATATCGTCTTATTCTGCATTCTGGACAGAGTCGTCGACAGTTACGCAGATGTGCAGCCGTCAAACTATCCAAGTCCAAAAGAGTGATGAGCTTGTTTAGGCAATGGCTTTCAGTTAATCTCAGCTTCTTATGATATTATAATTTGTTGTGGACAAATGAGGCCACCGCTCTCTCAGTTGAGAATCCATGGGAAGTGTTTGGCTCTCAAATTATCTTCCAGTGCAAAAATCAAACTTGGTGCTTATGGCCTAAGAAGCGTGTACAAGCATCGTTGTTGAGTGCACACAGCCTGGGCCACTCACTAATTGCACTAGCTTTTGTATGTCGACCAGCTACCTCCCTACAGAGTTGGCCATAGTAGTAGTCCCAATATTGGTTGGCTCCGAGTGGCAGTAGGCTACCATGTTATTCACTTTTTGTTTGTTTAATTTGTCCCAAATTTAGAAACGAAAGCATTGAAAAGTTTATAGATCCTTGAAAGTATAAAGGTTAAACGAAACCGATTTAATTTTGAACATTACGAATTTCACCAAACATTTTTTAGAGGATTGGCATGATTGCATGATAGGCCTCCGGCGAGAGAGGCCTATCGCTTCATTGGCATGATTTTTCCAAAATTTCGACACGAATAGCATTGAAAAGTTTATAGATCCGTAAAATATTAAGGACTTTTAAGGTTAAACAAAACAGATTAAATTTTGAACACTACAAAATCCACCAAACAATTTTTATATTGAAAAAATATTCTAACCCATTTCAGAACACTGTCCTAAATTCCGAAGTCGGTTTGACACACTTTTATTGAAATATCGTGGATTTCTCACTTGCCACCGGTAGCTATGAAGAGATGGTCGTAGACCAGGGTCTTGTTGTCCAGCAACAACAGCTTCTTCTCTTCACTGTTGAGGCTCACGACAGGGTTGCCCAGGATCAGCTCTATGTCGCCCATCTGAAGCCGGAAATATTAAGCGATTGATTTTTAAGACGTACTTATATACGTCTACATGGCGATCACATTAAAGTACACAAGCAAACTCGTGGTTTATATAAGTTTCCAGAAAGGTTCCTCGAATATGAAACAAGAACCAACACCAGTGGCCACGGTTGTTAACTTGAGAAACTGCGGTACAACTCCTCCATGCATCAGGCTCCCTACAACAGAAAACCTGCTGGCATCGTTGACGCCCTGGGTATGAATGCGTTCAAAACAAACTAGCTGAAGCTATGCAGGAATATAAATTTCAACTGGAAGAAACACATCTCACTGACTGGTTTAGCAGCTACTTAGCTTCAACGCAAATTTTAGATAGATCTGGTCCATGGGCTAGTTCTTCGCTCTCCAGGAGACAAGTCAAGGTCAATACAACAACAATGAACGGCCAAACTTGGACTATTCTCCAACGCTGATACTACTACCGTATACTATAGCACTGATACTACTACACTATAGCACTGATACTACCTGATACTACTATACTATAGCACTCCCTATGTCTGCGGTCCTCAGGACAAATTACCTCGTAGAACTCCCTAAGTCTGCTGCCCTCAGGACCAATACCTCATAGTACTCCCTATGTCTGCTGCCCTCAGGACCAATACCTCATAGTACTCCCTATGTCTGCTGCCCTCAGGACCAATACCTCATAGTACTCCCTGTTCCTTAGGGCCACGCTATCAGGCGTGGCGCTCAAGTTCTTGGAGAGCTTGGGGCGGTCGTAGGGAAGGCTGGGCTCCCCACACACCAGCACCACGCGCCCTGTGAAGCCCTCCTGACGCAGACCTTGCACGCATGCATTGCCCGCGGCACCTGCAATAAGTCAACGATTTCAACTCAATTGATTCTTTACAAATAGGGTGATACGGTACTCAATCTTAATAACACAATTATTTTCTTTAAAATTATTAGCATAATTTTGGTCAGTGAAACATTAACGTGTAAAATTCATCTGTAAACTAATATGAATAAGCTCCCTAAATCTTTAACCCATTGCACATAAATGATCAAAAATAAACGAAAGAACTTCAGCATAGTAGTTTGAGCGTGAATGTTGCAATTCACAAATCTAAGAAATGAATGAAAGAAGACAATTGAAAAAATCCAATGGCAAACCAGCATGATAAGAAAACCATCTAAAAATATACGAATAAATGTATAACTTGCTACTCAGAGCTAATAAGTCGCATCTAATATTGGTAACATGATAATAATTAAACATATAGCAAATCGGTACAAACCTCCCCCGACGACGACGACAGTCGTGTTGACTTTAGGGTCGCGTTTGGCCAGCGGCTGGACGCGCCTGTTGGCGGCCAGTAGTGACCGCTTAGCGCGCACCTTCACCAGGCGTCCGCCGTCCTCCAGAGGGACCATGGACACAGAATAGCATGGCAAGCAGTCCAGCCCGGGAAAATCTTCGATGTCACCTGCGGTATAAAATATCTATATTAGTAATTAAATATAATATTGGTATAGCAGAGCAGATGTTGTTCCATTAGTATTACTATTCATTAGTATTTAAAAATAATATTGGTATAGCTGAGCAGATGTTGTTCCATTATTATTACTATTCATTAGTATTTAAAAATAATATTGGTATAGCTGCGCAGATGTTGTTCCATTACGCAAGTTTGAATAGAGACCAGAGAATGATTATTATTAATAATTTGCCGGTTGTGAGTTCAATGTTCCTTGCTGGCGTTGGCAGATCGAATAGCAGGTTAACAAAAGACATTTAAATTTTCTAAGACTTTTATAAAAATGCCATGTATCGAAAAATTAAAAAATTATGTAATTAAAAAATTATAAAATTATAAAAATTAGCCGTTTTATAAAAATGCCCTGTATCGAAAAATATCGATATGACCAGCAGCATGAAAATGTTATAGTTGTAATCTTCAAAAAAGACTTCAATACCAAGTAGCGAAGATACAGAAGTAAAAACATGCTTGCTACACGATACAAAATGGCAAATTCTCTAATGAACATTCTATGTCTTCATTATTTTATCAATATGCTATATAAATGAGCAGTACCGTAAACCACACAAATATTAATCAAAAAGTTGATGCAAAACATAAGTGTTTTTTTAATAAAAAGAAGCTTGTTCATCAGTGAATTCTAAATTCGGGACAACAAAATTACGCTGTTTGCGATTGCAACGACATTACTCCACTGTACATCATTACACCGAATCAAGTACAGATTGCACAAGAGTTACACCGTCTGAACAGAAAACGTACAGAAGTGAATACGACGGTAGAGACAACATCGCCTACATGTGACGAGTTTTCATACCTCTTAGATGTGAGATAATTTGACGACGNTAAGGTAACACATTAAATTGAATTAAATTAAATTATTACGTTATTAATTTTTTCGTTTGCATAAACTAAATTTTAATCATGAGTTAAATATTTCGTGTAGTGACCGCATTTAAATTCTTCAAGTGCGATTTGATACTCCAATTTGCGAAATTTTAAAAAATGCATATGAATAAATGTTTCCTATAACACCTCTTACTTTCTTGAACTGGTTTCTGAAATTTTGATTTATGAATATTTCAATGCTTGTCCGCTGAAGAGTTAACTTGAATTCGAACATAGCAAATGCTAAAAAATTCGATTGAAATATCTACAGAAGATATACCGCACGATTATGATTCCTTGCGCACCTGAATGATAAATAAATAATTCGAATAAGGAGGACATAAATACAGCAAATTCAGAACAGAGAGACGAAAAGTATAGGAAGAAAAATCTCACGAACTGAAAGAAGGAACCACGTACCCTACAAAATATGAAGATTGTCAATACATTTATAAAGTACTAAAACAGAGGTCTCCAAACTACGGCCCACGGGCCAGATCCGGCCAGCGGCTAGGTTCCATCCGGCCCTCCAAGGATATTGCGTAGTTCAACATATGCGTATAAAAAACGAGCGTGGCGTTAATTTCTGGTTACGCATGAACTAAAAACAATAAAAGGGCATGACCGGCCCGCGATGGTTTCAGAAAGCTTGCTACTGGCCCTGTACTAAAGGATGCAGCTGCGTACAAAATAGTGAGAAAGTCCATATATTCATTTTATTAAGGGTTAGTCTAAGAAACTTACACTGTATATGGTAGGTATATGTTGTTTACCATGTGTCGCACACGTACCGGTCTCAGAACTGAAGCAGGCGCCGTGCCAATGGTAGGTATACGTTGCTTACACTGTCTATGGTAGGTATATGTTGTTTACCATGTGTCGCACACGTACCGGTCTCAGAATTTAAGCAAGCGTCGTATGAATGGTAGGTATATGTTGCTTACACTGTCTATGGTAGGTATATGTTGCTTACACTGTCTATGGTAGGTATACGTTGCTTACACTGTCTATGGTAGGTATATGTTGTTTACCATGCGTCGCACACGTACCGGTCTCAGAACTGAAGCAGGCGCCGTGCCAGGGGCAGCGTATGGTACCGTCCGGGGAGAGCGCCCCCTTCTCCAGCGGCGCGCCGTAGTGCGGACACTTGCTGCCCACGGCCCTCACGGCGCCCCCCTGCCGTACCAGCAACACCTCGCTGTCCCCCAGCGGGAAGCTCTTCATTCTGGCGTACAAATTAAATTAGCTCTTCATGAGAGAAGCTCTTCATGCTGACAAACAAATTACGTTAGCTCTTCATGAGAGAAACTCTTCATGCTGGCGTACAAATTACGTTAGCTCTTCATGAGAGAAACTCTTCATGCTGGCGTACAAATTACATTAGCTCTTAAATGAGAGAAACTCTTGATGCTGGCGTACAAATTACGTTAGCTCTTGATGCTGACAAACAAATTACGTTAGCTCTTCAACCCAACTAATAAAATATTATTTACTCTCTGCTTTTAAACTTGGTTGAGAGATTTGACTCTGAAATTTTGAATGCGAATAGCAGCGATAACCGTTTATGTATCGGATTGCATTTAGCATTTAGTTCAACATCATATGCATTAAACTTTTCGAAAGCTATTTGCTCGTAAAAGCCAGGTAGCCGGAGTACGATTCCGTTGACACTATGGTTACCTAACTGCAGTGAATTATGCACTAGAATAATTTATTCATTTTGAGATGTAGTGGAGAGGTGTGCGATATTTAAGTGTTTTTACTTGGTCACATTTATTTCGCAGCCAGTTTGCCGAATCTGTAGAATCAGCATTTCGTTGCTGATTCAGAAAATCGGACTTTAGAGTTAGAACATAAATCGACAGAGTTAAAAAAGATTAGGTCAATTTCAATTATATTCAAATATTAAAAAAAACTTGACTGACTGACTGACTTAACCCGAGATTCCTATAGTATAGAAATGCTTATTCTACAGATTCGGCCAACTGGCTGCTGATTCCATTGAATCAGTAATTCCGCGATTTCGGCACGTCATGTAGATCAATGTTAAGAACGCTTTTGAGAGAGGTGTAGTGCATACTGCCACATGTATAACTTAGCAAACGAATTGAACATTTAAGAGAACCAATACTCTGAGTCATAGAAGAGAACAGCGAGCGGGTCGAACGTCTAAGTTATGCAACTGCTTTGTTAAATTCAACGCCGCCATCAGGTATGCAAACTGTTGGATGAGGTACGACGCACTAGTAACTTGAAATGACTGCGGAAGCATGATCGCGTTATTTAAGTGAATGTTCTTCAACAGATATTAATACCTACGCATTTCAGTATCCTGAATATTGAAATTTTTATTCTTCGGCGTAATGGAAATTTACGTATCAATCAAAAACGTGAGTTAGAAGTTGACGCAAAACATTGAATTTCGGTTGAAAGGGTTTGCATGAAATCAATAAATAAATGCCACGTTTAATAAACCCATAAATTTCCAAACATCCATTGCGACAAAAAAATTAAATGTGTTTTCTACGCGTAAATGAATTGTAGCTAGTTATTAATACTTGAGTGGGTCTGTATGAAATGTTCAAGAATTTTAGTATAAATAGTATTTTCTTAATTAAAAATGTGGTGATAGGCAAACTATCTTCCTTTGGATGGAATCATACAAAGTTCCGACCATCGATTGACACACATCATTGAGGTTTACAGGAAAGTGGAACTATCTCCGACTGTATAAATAACATACCAGACTTAGTGAATTCCCAAGTGTATAATAGCCTTTACGTTATGATTTTCGCTTTTTCGTCGAAACAATTATCTACAACCCAGCGACATTCAGAAGATATTCGGAAGTGTTGTTCGCGCAAAAAAAAAAAAAGAGATCAAATGGTATATCGGGGCAGAACTGAACTTATTCCGTATAAAAACGATTTCAACGAGTTCACATACGAACTGAATTTTGGCTGGCATATTCAAAGGAAATCCAAAGACAATAAATTGAAAATAACTCGGCAAGACTGAACTGATAGTATCGAAAATAAGTAACAATGAACGCGCTGTATTGGCATGGAAAGCGAATCGACGGTAACTAGTTTTCATACGACTCCATCCATTGATTTTCATTCTTGCCATTTATATTTACCGAGCACCAAAGTGCAAAAAATTTCCATGTGATTATCTAAACATAGTCACTGCTAACAACATCGATTTAACTCCTACCTACGTATATAAGTGCTACTTATCTCATGACTTTCTGTTTACCAAGAGCGTATTGATTGCGCACATCGGTCGATGCATGACTGATAAGTCTTAGACTCAGATGCTTGAAGATTTAAATCATAAAGTGCATTGATCAGCCAACTCCATGTAACCGGCAGCTGAATCTTAAGAGACAAATCTCAATTCGATTCGACATTAAAATTAAAATAGGAGCGTGATTACTTTTACGACCTTTGCGTGAGAACCAACATCGACGGATCGAAGAGCGGAAGTCAGGTTTTCTCTGCGTCCATATATCCACTTCAGCAGAATATGCTAACTAACATGATATATTTGAACACCAACCAAAAGTTCGTTTTATGTGTTTTAGCAATGAAGCTTCTCACTAGACTATGACAGACCTCGTGCCTTGAATACGTCGCAGACATTCTAAATCATTCCTTTTTCTCCGCGCTAAGGATATAAATATCTCTAATTTGTTTGAAATATTCGCAGAACAAGATTTATTTTCAAATTATTATCGCAATGTAGCTCCTCGCAAGGCAACGAGTAAACTTATGCCAATTAGTTTACTCTGAGAATCGTATTTTTCTGACTAACGAGTCGGAAGCTTTCGTAGTAACTCAGAGACACATCGATTGTGTACGACGTTGCGGTCAATTGGTCGACCGTTGCCAAGACACGCAACACGCCGCTCTCCTCACACGCTATACTTGATAGGCAATTCATTAAATTTAACAGCATGGCTAACGTATTCAAATGATGAATGTTAAAGCACTTAATAAGCGGAACTTTAATTCCTAAAATAAATAAATCATGCTTTGTTTGTCGCATTATAAATTAGGATTTGTTTGTTGCTTTACTATCAGTTGATGAATACGTAAATGATTGTCAGCATTCTAGCAGTCATCTTAGTTGAATTGAGTTGAACAGCAATATACAATGAATATAAATTTTCATTTGGACACATTTATTCATTCCGTCATTCATACTGTACGTACCCTCGGCATGGAAAAATCTAACTACCTTCTACTGCTCAGATAAACTACAGCAATAAAGTTAACTAATGTACCATACATTATAGACAACAACAAAATGTTGATTTATTCTTCATGCTATTCTTCAGGAACATGACTTATGGTGATGACTTACCCTCCTTCAGGAATATCAGCTTCACTGCAAACCACATCTTCTATTTCTTCCTCCATAGCTGAACCTGGAACAGGACATAGACGACAAAAATTTCAAACTTATCAGGACTGCTCCATCTGCACACTTTTTAAAGGGATTATTAAACATAATTATACATTAAACAAATAAACATCCCTATGTACGTATATATCAAGTCCAATTAATAGACTGAAGCATAAATTACAATGCTTGTAATTTTCTAGGAGCATAGATTACGATGCATGTAATTTTCTAGGACAAACACAGAGAGGAAAACTCAATAGAACAATTTAATCAAGCCGTAAGAAATTATGTGCGCTTGTAACCATGCAATTCCCTAATTAGGGCCCAAGCACTATGCCTTCAGCACCATTGATCTCAATCTCTTAGCTCATAAGCTTGTCATTTATGTGTAATTATTAATTATTGTAATCTACTGTCTTGGTAGAGCTGCTCTGGCACATACCACTACTGCCATGTCATTAGTGTACTAACACATGACCCTGCTGATCTGAACTGTACTGCTTAAACTGAAGTGAATCCTGTTGCTTAGTGTTTGCTGTTGTGCTCATTTTCCCTAGCCTATTAAATAGGATTGCAGGAATGAACTCAAACCATCAGGTTGATACTTTGGTGCATATAATACAACTACAGATAAAGTGGCAAGGATTGCAGGCGTATGCATAGAAATGCAGCACCTGATATATGCATGCAATTCTGTTGCCACTGCACCTGAATTTGTTTTTCTATCAAGATTTTGAGAAAGCATTAGCCTTGAAATATATAAGGTTGAAAATGTGGCAAATATTTTTATGAAGAAGATTGGAAAATTAAAATGAAATATTCAAATATTGTTACTCCAAGGTTACAAATTTTGGGCAAATTTGAAAGATGGGGCTTAATTGAACAGCTTTATACACAATTAGATAAGAAATAATTCATGTAGAGCATACATCAATTACAAAAATGGCTTGAAAGCTCTAGTGATGGCTTAAGAAGTAGATAAACTTTTTCCTGCCTGTTTCAGGTAAAGGTAGTCTTGGCAAGTGGCAACAAATTTATTTACTTGCAACTTGGAAAATATATATATTCTATGCCTGCTCTATATATGGTGTTGAATTTGTAATAGGTTAATAAATGAACAGTCACCCATATAGTGTTGGATTGCAACTTGCAAGTACAAGAAAACTGATGAAAGTTGAAATGATGAGGATTAATTCACTATACCGTATATTTAAGAATATTTACATAGCATATTGGATCAATTTCAAAATATCTAAATGTATTCTGCATATTTTTGGATTGAGCAAGGAAGCCAGACAGGCATGGGATATATCCAAGCCACAACTAGGGCTGCTTTCCCATAATTTTTGGAGCAGGGATATTTCAGTTTGGTGAACTGTCTCATATTCAAGTATACTGTAAAACAGGATGAGTTGGTCCATTGATGGAGTGACTTGGAACATTTTTAGCCCACACCTTCTTCTAATACAAACAGTCACATAGTAGGTATAAAAATACATGTCTTTATTGCACTTGTAGGGTAATCTCATGGTACTTCAAAGAGCCATCAATACAATTTTTCTAAGGCAAGAATTTTCTGAATATAGGGTTTTATTTTCTTAAGGGGACCAGCTTGGTTTCAGAAAAACTTATACATTTATCTACCAATCTTTAATATCAAGACACATTCATTAGATTTGTAACATAATTATCTAATGGCTCATGAACTTAGATTTTTCATTTTCCTCATGTTTTTTTTTCCTTTTTTTCACATTTGCCCACATCACAAATTTTTAAAAGCTGCGTATACCCAGAGCTGGGCAGCGCTACTTTGAAATGTAGTGGCCGCTACCGCTACATGATCTAAATGTAGCGGGTGCTACCGCTACCACTACACCCACTAGATTGTAGTGAGCGCTACTGCTACAGTAAATGTAGCGCCACTACATTAGCCGCTACAATGGCCAAAATTATTGGAAATCTCTAAATATTTATTATTACTTACTCATAAACATTTAATGATAATAAAACATTTTCATAACATATCAATGCAACTTTATTGCAATTAACCTAACCAAACTAGTATATACATTATGGGTTAGATACAGTACATAAAAGTTACAGTTATTTTTATGTTTTACCTTCCCTACATGGATGTCTACTTCAATCTACCATTTAACTACCAATCTCGAAAAATTTTCTATATATACATATAAAAAATCCGTCTTTTATTTGTATATACCGGTACCATATATGTGGATTATTTTTGAGATTTGAATATTTAAGTAGACATCCATGTAGGGAAGGTGAAACATAAAAATAACTGTGTAAAAATAACTGTAAGCAAACTGAAACATGAAAAAATACCTGTAAGTGGTAACTGGTAACAACTTAACAAGCATAGTGACAAACCAGAGATTTTTTAGAATCAGTTCATTTTCAATTTCCTCATTTATTCAAGACTTAAACCAATTTCTTATGTACGTATGATAATGCTGGCATCCATGATACTTTACTGGTCTACTTATAGGACTCAAAAATGAATTTGAGGGAGAGTCTAAAAAACTCTCTGCTTTTAATAACAAGTAACAACTAACATCATAAACATGTTGACACTACTCACACTAGTAACACTACCGCTACATCGTCTTAAATGTAGCACCGCTACCACTACTGAAAATGTAGCGGCTGCTAGTGGCCTGCTACATGTAGCTTACACTCAGGATGATGTATGTTTTTGGGGAATTTTCCCGCGCATTTTGACTTTTTTAAGCCATTGATGTGCACAGTTGGCGCAATGTAATCAAAATTGTTTCTCTTTGCGCATGTGTTCGCGCAATCCCGGCCATCAATTCTACGTCACGCTGCCGCGTNAACTGCAATGTCGATACTCAATGGCCATTTGTACTATGATAACCTACGTAACAATTTTCATATGATAGTTATAATTTTTGCACATTCAAAGTACACATGACATAACATAACACACCCAGATTTGGAAACCATAATTGCTCAAATAAAGCAAAAATAAACAACAGACCATTGACTTATCTCACAAATATATATATATTCATATTTTGTATCAGTTTAATTACGCTCCGTAATTATGCCGTATTGACCTAATTTGTATAGTCCATTTACGACGCGCATTGTTATTAGGTATTGATCGTGTCAATTTTGCCAGCCGGGAGGATGTTGGGAATGTAGTGCCAGCATTGGCATGCAGGTTCGTACTGTTGACGTACAGGTTCATACTTTACTTGCCGCAACCAGTCCAGACTCCTGTGATCTATGAATGAATATTCATAACTGTGCTGACTCTTAGAACCTGAGTTGACATGTTAGCAATCTAGTTAACTCATATCCAAACACAACACAATGCAGATACATGTTCGTGTGTACAGTGTACGGTCAGTGTGATTACGTAATTTGCGTTGCCGCATGTCCATATTTAAATTATTAAATTAGCATTCTAAAAGTACGGCGCACGGCGCATTTTTTACCCGCATAGTACGGGGCACCGCGCAGGTTGTTAAAATGACAAAAAAAAATTCCTGCGCACCTGGCACATCTTCCTGACCATGGCATGTAGCACGCTACACCCACCTCTTTAAGGCTCATTATAGTTTATACCTACCTATACCCTTTGGGCCGCAAGTCCACTGTCTTACCAAAGACACCACACACCAGGTCCAGGCCCAGACCCAGTGGGCACGGGCCACGGGGCAGGGACTAGTAATCTCCTAGAATAATTCAACTTGCAAACCTCAAAAAAAGTTCAAAAGATACTATAATTGATCTAATTTACTTAAATTATTTGCTGAAAAATATTCAAGCAAATGAAGCAAAATAATGATAACGTTACCGTACTATATTCTCTAATTCAGCAAAAGAAATGTGTCTCATCAGCAAATACAGCAATAGGCTACAACCGCTACATAAATTTAATTGGAATAAAATAATAGCGCACCAGTCACCACTCACCACAAGCACAAAGTTGGCTAGCTAATCATAGAATGCATTGGCTAATCATAAGCATGAAAAAATTGCATTTATATTGAAATAAAATGATAAAAGAACTCCGTTGTTGAAGAATTGTCGCAGTCACGCAGATGATGCTAAATAGTTAATAGTACAAATTGTACAATAGACTTAGTAAATCCTTTACCTTGGCCGTTGGACCGCGGACAAGGTAGTATTATGCCCATTCCAAAATTTCGTGTTCCTAATCTCTGTGAAACGTTGTTAACTTTTTGTGATACAGGCAAAGAAATACAACCTCCCTGCCATGAAAAGCTTTCTACACCAGCGCCAGCAATACGCGCTACAGCAACGGATTTCACAAAGCGACTGACCCAGCGGAGCGTACTCAGCGTAGTCACTGACATCATGCCTGACCTTTCGCCATTCGTTCCTCAATAACAACTCAAGCGGATTGCATTGCGTTACAGCACACGAAATACTTTTATGTTGTGCAACCTTGGTTTTGACTTTTATTTCAAGCAGTAACGACGATAAAATACAAAAATTTAAGATTATCATAGAAATAATAAGTGAGCACTTAGTACAAACTGAATGTTTTGTTGCCTCAAATCAAAATATCTGCACGCAAACAGGTTGAAGAGTAAAGATATTTTATTATTCTACATAGCGGTTACCGCGTTCATTCGGCCGTAGGCCTGTCGCGGATTCTCAACATCGCAGAACATTCACAGCATGGTTGAACTATATAAGGTTGAACCACGAGGATTTTCGACTCTCAGTTCAGCTTTTTTTTTTTTGTTGCGACACTGAGATCGAGAAACGTAAACAACCACGTCATTCCCATGACGGATTGATTGACGCGTTTGATCGCATTTCAGTGAAATGGATACTGCCCGTGACGTCACTGAGATCAGTGACGTCACAGGCGAAAAACAAACTACATCCTTAAAAATGAGCTTCTCATAGGTCAACCTTCAACTAGTTCAACCACGATTCACAGCTTGTTGCGGTCTCGAACTCAGAACTCACTGATTCAAATTCTGCTGTGCTTAATCAAAGTGGAAATGAGCCGAAGCAGGGGCCATCCTAAGCATGGTTATTAACCGCCCGGCCTTATCGCCAATTTGACCAGAAACAGGCGCACAGAGCTGGGATCGAACATGCGCCTCGCTGCGTCAATCTTGGTACTCACCAATGGGCCACCCGTTACATTCTTACCTTCCATCTCGAAAGTTGTTTCGGCCACTAGTTCAACTCCAATAGCATTTCGTGTTACTGCACTACTTTAGTTTTCTCCAGAATCATACAAGAAAAATAATAAGTTAGGAATTCGCAGAAAAATTATGATTCAAATTCATAAATAGAAAAAGATCCAATAGAATAGAAAAAGATGCTGTAGAAATCACATTTTGAAGCTAGGGTTTAAAAATTCCCCTTCACCCGTTTGGATTTCAACGAGTTTGATAAGCAATCGGATGGCATTGGATAGTTCAATAAATGCAGGGAAGTACGGTAAAATGCGTAGATCTCGGGCACAGCAAATTTTTCGGCTACAACATACGCGTCCAAGTTACCAATATCCGCTACTTATATCATAAAAAATCAATTTCATTCAAAACACATGGGGAATCGCCGAATCTCTTACCGAAACCATAAAGAAATTAATTAGTAAAAATTGCTCGCGCGATACAAAATGTGCTGAGAGTTGCCATCTCTCACTTCCGACGGACACGAGATGTTATAGGTACAGGGAGCTGTCATGTGTCCTGTTCATTATAGGCGCATGGAGCTGTCATGTGTCCTGTTCATTATGGGTGCAGGGAGCTGTCATCTGTTCTGTTCATTATAGGTGCAGGGAGCTGTCATGTGTCCTGTTCATTTTAGGTGCATGGAGCTGTCACGTGTCCTGTTCATTATGGGTGCAGGGAGCTGTCATGTGTCCTGTTCATTACAGGTGCAGGGAGCTGTCATCTGTTCTGTTCATTATAGGTGCAGGGAGCTGTCATGTGTCCTGTTCATTATAGGTGCAGGGAGCTGTCATGTGTCCTGTTCATTATAGGTGCAGGGAGCTGTCATGTGTCCTGTTCATTATAGGCGCATGGAGCTGTCATCTTCATGTTCATTTTAGTTGCAGGGAGCTGGCGAAGTCAGTAATTCACAAATCAAATATCCTATATAATATTTAAATGTTGAACGAATTCCACATTAAAACATGAAACAAGATATCAACATAACAAAATCAAACAATAAATAGCTAATGGATGATGTCAATGTCTCCTATTATTATAGATAGGGTTAAGTGCAACGAATTCGTCGACATGGGTAGAAGAAACTTATTGGATATGAAACTTTATTTATGCTACTAATTAATATTAGCTGTAACCCCTTATCGTCTTGACTATTCCCCACCAGCAGAAACACGAGTAGTACCATGATCAGTCATTTGTTGTAAAAAGAATGTTCATCGCATATGGACATCACGGAGACACATCGGCGATCTACGAGCCGATAAAAAAATTAAATGAATAAATGATAAATTAAATTCCTTGCACGAGGATAAACATTTAGACAGATGAATGAAGGGTTTATTGGGCGACGTTTAAAATTGGGTTAAGGCAGCGTGAAGCAGTTCCAAATTTCATTAAACAGCGTAATAATAGGATTCACTACAGCTGATCTATCAAGATATAAATGTACATGTGATTTCAAAACGAACTATATTCGATTTAGAAATGGTAGCCTACAGTCATATGAACTTTTTACACTCATTGCATATATAGAGACATATATATAATACGGTAATATAATAAGAGACATACTATACAAAAAGATACATATATAGGCATTCAAGACATAAAAACCTAAACCTTTGCTTAGCGAACGTCTTGCACATGTCAGAGAAAAGCTTAATTATTATTCTTTCGTCAAAAAATGACCGGACATCAGTTAAGGATGCCGATGACCTAAGTAAATGAATCGATTTTTGCAGAAAAACATTGAATTCGACAAACTGAATGTTGTTATTTCTAGAAGCCTGAATACAACTTAGTCAAGCATGAACCATGCCTTTCAGTCCTTAACATTATATAGTATTAGGTTTCCCCTTTGGGAACAGAGGTTATAGTCAACAGACTCAATCGTGAATGAACAATTATTCGTTACTCCATCTTCTTGAAAATCTTCCGAACCTTTCCGAGAAAGCCTAGGAGGTTATTGGTCTCGTTCAGCCGCTGCTGCAACCTCGGCAGGTCCGGAATTTGAGGATCTGTAGTAACCTCGTATAGCTTATTTTTCAGCGTCACAGACACCTTGAACACGCGACTTGGGTCAGCTCTCTGCACCTATAATGAACAGGGCAGATTATAACAGGACAGATTAATGGAGAGTAAATCTGTCTTGTTATATTATAACAGGACAGATTGTAAATTATAGCTCTCGGAACTGAGACATGACAGCTCTCAGCACCTCTAACAAAACTTAGACATGACAGCTCTCAGCACCTCTAACAGAACTGAGACATGACAGCTCCAAAGTAATAAGAGAGCAGCGTGTACAAAATCAGTAATCTCAATTATGTATTTCAGTAAATAAATTATAACATGAAATTTAAAAAATAAAGGTTACCACTAGGTGCTGTTAGCTCATCTTTGTCGGATAATTCCCAAGGAATTCCATTACTCTAAATGTTGACCTAAGGGTAATGTTCAATTTGAAGAGTACATAACAGAGTTATTGAACAGGCACGTAATCTTTTTCATGTTGTCAGTTATACTATTTTGTTTGTTAGAACATGTATTGTCAGCCATTGCAAGGAAGATTTTTTACATGCAGAATAATTATCTTTACTCCAGTTATAAACCTGATGATGGAGGTCTGCAAATGCTATAGCTGAACCTCATTGTTGGCAAATCATCGAATAATATGACAAACTAAAGCTCTACTAATAAATGTTTTAACTATAAAATATAAAGACAAATCTGCATTCATATTAGTCATTAATAACAGAGCAAAACCTCAGACCTTCGTGAAGGAGAAGACAGTGGTGTTGGTGGAGGACAGCTTGCAGATGCTCAGACCCAAGTGTTGCTCAAACAGATGCACACCAAGCCCAGCTGTGGCCTCACGGTCCTGAAATATATTATGTTCACTATAAACTGTGCCATGAATTATGCTCAAAAGAAATGGTGGGCATGTCGAGAATACTAAATTGCTTAAATCACTTAAACATTGCCATACTTGAGTTATTGACTTATTTCATATTTTTATACAATGAACAAAATAAAGAATAGCATGGATAATTTTCTTTAGAAAAGAGTAGTTTTTCTACCCCTTATAGTAAATCAATCAGTGTCAAATGGTTATTCAACTAATATTTAAAAAAACTGTAATTGTTTGAAAGGAAAAGAAAATTTACAAAGTTGTGAAAAAATTAAATCGTGTTAACTTAAAGCTACTTATTATTAATGTTATGTTATTTAATTACCTATATGTTATGTTAGAACATATATAAACATTTATACTATGTTATGATCATTCAGACCTTTGCAACAAAAATTTTTCTCCACTGGGCCTCGGCCTCCTCAAATTTTTGTTTCCAACCTCAGATTTAGTAGGTAGGTGTGTAAATTATGAATTATTACGGACAAAAGTCAAAACAATTTAGATTTCAGTGAGAAATTTTCTTTGAAAAAGCATTTTTTTATTTGATAGGGCCAGGTTGGGTATTGAAGGATTTTTAATTCTGTATAAAAACCTTGTTCTCTGTTGTGATATCATCTAATATTCGCTGCTTCTCCGCAACTTCACTTAAAGCTTCTGCCAGGCATTGCTCCTTTCTTGCCTTCTTGTTCTCCTGAAACAAATAGAATAATTAGTTACTAAAATTATTGGATTTGGAATCAGCTAAGAAGCAAATAAAAAGGGAATGATAACAATAAAAGGAAGCAAATTATCCGAATAAAGTACCGTACACATCGAAATAAGTGGCAAAATGACAACTTATTAATCAGCTATACATCTTACTGGTGGTTTATAGGATGAGAAGCTAAAGCAGAGTTGCATTTGGTTAGGGAGGCTGGTATATACTGGACAACTTCATGTACAAAATTTATGCACTTCTATTTTTTATGCACACCAAAATATGATACGAGCACCTCTTCTTTCAATGCAAGTTGTATGCTGGCAAGTTCAGAGGAGAGCAGGGCAGCCTTGTGCTGGTTGCGTTGATTGTCTCCGCATGCTGCTTGGAACTCGCGCTGCAATCTCTCTATATTCTTTTCTAGTGCAACTTCCTGATCTGAAGAAAATTTGAATTTAAAGAGCATAAAAAATAACTTTAAGGGAAGAAAATGAATGCTTTATGAAAAAATTTACAAATGAATAAAATCAGAGAAATCAAGGCATTAAATATAATATAGAAAGCATGAAAAATTATACATATCATAATTATCATTTTTAATACCGGTACTGAAGATTCATTGACCATTAAATTAAAACTTACCTCTGTATTTTTTATTCATAATTACAAATTCTTGACAGCGCTCATGCAATTTGCCACAAGCAGCAGCTTGCAAATCAGCAATGGCTTGCTGGTCATCATCAATTTCTCGGAAGATACAATCTAGGTCTAATTTAAAAAAGTTGGTTTCAGCTTTTACTGAAGCCATTTCATTACTGATTTAAAAACAGGCCTGACAACTTGTAGAAGAGTCCTTCACTCACAATCTCTTACAATTTCCAGAACATGCAGAATGGGTTTGATGATGAATCAATAAACTATTCTTAGCCAAAATCTCTACAAGTTCACAATAATTTGTCTAGTCTCAATACATGACCATGAAATATCCAAAAATCATCAATTTATCTTCAAAATTTTTGGCTTTGACTGTAACAATTCATAGGCATTCATAAGCTCTTCACAGCCCAGGACAGCCTACAACAAAAAAGTAAATAGCCATTACCAATCATAATACAAGGACATATATATATAGATCATTTTTACTCATAATGCAACAATATACCATGACATAGTGAGGCTGAGCTGGAAGACACATCACAAATTCACTGTAATTGCATTTCCAGAATGATGAAGACTTTTAGAAAAAAGTTGAATTTTTCAGACCAAAAACTAATCACTGGTTTTGGGCAGTGTCTAATGACTAATGACAAATGACATGACTAATGACAAATCAAATGACTAGATACTGTATTTTTTCATGCTCTAATTACTGTAGAAAACAGCTAATATTTATAAAAAAATATAAACAAATATTTGAAAAAATTATTACAGATAGGTACTCCATATTTAATTTAATACATTAGCTAGTTATTTACTTGAACTTTTGCAATTTCAGTACACAAAGTTCAGGTAATAAATTATGGATTTATACGGTACTATGATTTAATAATTGCCGTACCTACTATATATGCGAGTCAAATTTTTAATTATTGGGAGATAGGTATACTGTATACACATGCCATTTTTTATTCAATTGTATCCATTTTTAATAGATACAATAATTATTCTATTCTATTTTAAATCTATTTCTATTTTTAATATCTATTTTTAATAGATACAATTTAATAGATACAATTGTATCTATTTTTAATAGATACAATTCCAATACTATACAATACAATAGATACTTGGTAACTTTGTACCAAGTACCTACCAGTATCTATTGTATAGATACAATACAATTTAATCTAATTGTATTTTTAAAAATATGCCATTGACTTTAGAACTCAAGAAGGTTCATGCAGGTTTAATTGGAAATATTTGACTTGCAAATGCATCATTTCAAGATGATGGCCTGGTACCTATACTATCTATGTCTACCTTCCAAGCCATGGCTAGAACTCTCTCCCTCACTTCTGGACCTGTGAGATTTCCACTAGATACATTATCTCCTATTGATTTGTTGATGAAAATGCACAATCAAGCCATAAGATTCCAAATCGTTTGAAAATATGTTACATTGGAGCCCTATGATTTTAGAATTGACTTTAACAAATTTTCCACACAAAATGAACTTCATGAAAGCAGTGGTCAGTGCAAGAATATCTCAATTTGAGCAGAAAGCCTAGCAGGCAATATGCATACCATATGTTCATGGTAGCAAGGCACCAGAATACAATTGTGTCATTGCATGGCTACAGCTGTTGGCAGTGGCAGCTGTTGCTGTTCTAGATTAGAATACAATTGTAATATACGGTAAAATATTTTAAAAAATGAAGAAAACACTATAAACGAATAAAAAAATTAATGCACTTTTGCATAAAAAATATTTTCTGATTTTTTTGCAGAAATTAGGCAAGAGCCATAAAAAGAGTGAAATTGATTTCAAGCATGTGCATTTTGGTCTCATTCATAGGCTAGATTAGAAGTTTTCTATTTATTACTAAAATCTTGTGGCAATAATGTGACAAATTTTCAATACGTTTAGAATATTGCAGCCCAATTGTGCACTATGGTTAACAATAACACCAGACAAAAAGCATGGCACAACATAGGTTGAGGACTCCTACTTCAAGGACCCAGCAAACTTTATTAAACATATATACACACACACATCCAACCCAGAATGCACTTTTGAAGCCACCAACCAGCATCATAGATGAGATACTGCCAGACATCAGACATAGCAGTTTAACCATGCAGACAGGGTGCACCTGAGCAGACTCGGATGTGGTCACCATATATCACCATACTCCTACAAATGCCGCTTGGACAGTACTCACTTGGACCTATGCCCAAAATGTCATGCACTACTCCACACCGTCAAGCATCCCTGCTTGAGTGCCCGGAGCTGGCAGCAACTAGGCACAAGGCTGGCATACCATCTGTCACAAAGCTTGGTTCTGAGTTGACTTGGGTGGTGGCTTTTCTTCACAGCGCAGGTTTCCTGGCATAACCAGAATTTGGGGAACATCAACAACAACAACTCCAACTCCATTGCCCCATTGCCAAGGTAGGATTTAAGCAAACAATGGTTGCCAATAGTGCTTCTCCTTAGATTGTGATTTATGATCAATATGGTCAATGCGCAATGTTTGGCACAGACCCAAGTTCATTAATGTTGTTGCAGCCTACATGCGATCATTGGCATGGACATATGGGCATTATGATCATAACAGCTGGTGAGCGATGATCAAAATGGACAAATGCGCATTAGGATCATTGCAGCTAATGTGTGATGATTCACATGGACATAGGGTGATGGGGAGCTTGAAGAGATGACAATATATCAAGCTAAAAAGCCTTATCTTTACAGCCAGGCAATGATATATAAGCTAATTACATGGGGTAATATAAGGTAATATTGGGGCTCCCAAAATGGTAGGAAAACTATGATTGCAGTCTGAAAGGTCAATAGTATATACATTTATTGCACCTCACTGTAGCTATGCCCAAGTCTTCAAAATGATTCAGAGTCCAAGAGATTTAAAAAGTAGCCATCAGAAAAGATCTTCCAAAATTTTTGAAAGATTATCATTAATCAAGAGACATAGAAGCTAAGCATTATAGCATATAGAGCATTTTATACTATATGTAAAGTGGGTGAGGTGACTGACTATGGTACAAGTCTGTAGGCCAATTAGGCCAGGCTGTACAGTAGGGCCATTTTAGCTTGAGATATTGGCATCTTTTGAAGAACTTTATCAGCCATCTTGACTTATGTTGTAATAATAACATAACATAACTCCACACATTTTAATGCAACATAACATAACACTTTACATTATAACAATATAAAACATCGTGATATAAAACATACATTGTAACATAATATAGAACAATACAACAAATTATACCAAAACGTATAACAGAAGCACATTGTAACATAACATATCTTGATACAATGCATTATAAGGCATTATCACTAAACCCTACACAACATAGCATAAGATAATATAACAGTACACATAAAAACACAACATAATATAACAGAACATATTTTAACGCATCTTGACATAAGACAACACATAAAACAAAACATAAACCATTATAATGCATGTCACTACAGAACTCATAATTACACTAGGTATATAACATATAATATATATATATATAATAAAAAAATTATCATGCATTATAACATGGCACAGTATAATATAACACATTATAATACATCACAACACTTAGAACAAATCCTAATATAAACCAATGCATCATAACACAGCATAAACTGTTATGTTATTTTATGTTCTGTTATGTTATTTTCTGTGCTGTGCAGGGTTGGCAATGATTCAATCAAAATGATTAAATCGTGTGATTAAATCACTTGATTTTTTTTTATAAAAAATCACAATTTTTTTATTTATTTTTTATTTTTTCATATATTTAAATATATTGAGTGGCATTCTTAATTTATATTGAGGTATTGTTATTCATGATAAGCAAATTCTTATAAGGCTATAAATAGTCTTCAACTATTTGACTATTTGTTACATATTGATCACAATATACAATTAAAATGTGTTAGCTAGCTTATACTTGGTGGGGTAAACTTATAGAACAGTTTTAAGGTGAAATAAAAGAGTAATGGAGGTGCATAAAGAAGAAAGTTTATTTTCCTCAAGATTAGCATAACATGCCATTTAAAATACTTATGTTTTGAAAACAATATCAGGAAGATGTGTCTGTTAGCTGCAACACACTGTTGGAGTCGTTCTCAGAAGTCTTCTACAGCACGTTCACACATATGGCAAGGTATGGCCATAACCTCTGCTGCAATAATCCGTTCCCTTAGCTGTGGTAGGGTGTGAGGGCGACTTCTGAACACCCTTTCTTTTAGATATCACCAAAGAAAGAAATCGCAAATGCTCAAATCAGGTGACCTTGCAGGCCAATGTAAATCACCCCCTCAGACACCAGACCTCCGGGAAACATGCGTTTCAAAACATTGAGTGATAATCGGGCTGTGTGAGCTGTAGCCCCATCCTGCTGGAACCACATGTCTCCCAATGCTTCATTTTCAACAATATTTTCCATCCTGGGCTGCAAGAAATTTTGCAACATTGCTGCATAGCGATCGGTATTCACTGTCACGGTTATTCCCTCCTCTGAGAATGACTCCAACAGTGTGTTGCAGCTAACGGCCCCCATCTTCCAGATACTGTTTTCAAAACATAAATATTCTAAATGGTATGTTATGCTAACCTCTAGAAAAATAAACTTTCTTCTTTATGTACCTCCATTACTCTTTTATTTTACCTCAAAACTGCTCAATCGGTTCTGCCCCACCCTGTATGTTGAGAGGTTGAGATTGTATTGACCTTTTAGGCAATTAGAATGATTTTCCACCCTAATACAAATATTCTAATTAAAATATTCAATTTCAATCTTTAAATATGTGAATTTAAAACTAGAAACAAAACAATTACAATTATAAGACTATATGTAAAATAATTAAATGCAGTGAATGGGTATAAAATATTTGAATTGTGCACATGTTTATTTCAAACAGTGTTAGATTTTCTCATAACTTAAGTCTCGTTTCAAGTTGTATGAGGTTTGTTTGGTTATCGTTCGGTTTATGTTTAGTTATGGTTTATTGGTCTGAATTAAATGGGAACAGTGCAGCCAGTCACTCAGTCACTACTACTTGGTGTGTATAGAGGGTAGAGTCTGGTAGATTTATAGGACATAAAACTAGAAGATCTATTGATGGTGCTGTGCACTGTGTTATCAGCTACCTATCTGTTGTGTGACTCTTCAATGTTTAGAAGATCTGCATTCCTGAAGTGTTTTTGTATATTGAAGCCAGTTAAATGGTTATAAATTTAGCTCATTACCTTGCTCCATACAAACTTTACAAAGCTAATGAATAAACTTATCAATAATTGTTTACCCAAAAATCCCTAAGTGGTAAACACCACCTTGGCCTGTTGGCCATTACTGAAGGCAATAGGTGCCCCTTTAAGCCATCCATTAT